ACGGATTCGCCCGCTTCATTTTTCCTGATTTGCAGATAAAAATAAAAATTCAGAATCAACTGCAAAATGCTCATATTTTGCCCTGAACAGTTTCTTCCTAGTTGTTACAGTTATTCCATCTTTCAATGCAATGGTATCATTAAAAGTTCAAAATTCATTGTTTAAATTTTGAACCAGCCTGGTGTGTTGACTTCATGGCTCCTATCGTACCATTTTCAGCCATAATAGGATGCCTAGGCCTGTAGGCCTGTTTTTATTTTTTTTCGCCCGCCCGCTCCATTATTTTTCTAGAAAAATCTGTTAACCAAGAAATTAAATTGGTGTGGCCTTAGTGTTAGAAATACCCATCTGCAGTCTGCATTTTGCAGAGAAATTCTCAATGTTGCAGAAGAAAAATTAAACAATCCACAATTTTGCAGACTGAAAAAATCAGGATAGGGGTTCAATTGTGCATATTTTTTAGAAGCTTTTGTTCTTACTACTGACTTAATGATGTGCTAGCTATGCTTGCACATGTATTTTTCAAATTGCATGTGAAATGTTGTGAAAGGGCTTAAAAGTGTATATTTGCAGAAAGTACTTTCAAATTGCAGAACAATATTGTGGCATTCTGCAATATTGTAGAACATTGAAAAAAGTATTTCGACCACTGTGTTACATAAATTTATTTGTTTATCTTTGCTGCATTTCGGTTTAAACTCAACTCTACCTTGACTCTTGACAGATCAATAAAACAAAAATAACTGGTATTTGCTCGAAAGAAGTATAATTTCTCCGCCAAAGGTACATAGATGCCTCTAAAGTAGCAAGCAAGTAGAAGTTTTTTTTTACGTTTTTAATATGATATCCTGCATTGAGCAACCCTTGAAAATATTCCAAATTTGTAACCAGCTTGGTTAGACATGCATTGAAATGACTATTGTAACTTTTTTATGTTTACCGAAGGAAAACATATTATTGTTTTTACTCAATTTCCTCTTCTCCAAACACTAACCTCTGACCTGGCCAATGACATGACTTGTTGACGTCTGTCACCATGGTGACTGGTGTTGGTTTACATAATGTTGCCATTTCATTGTCTGCTCTACTCCTGTCACCATATACTAGTACATGTATGTGAATATGTTTGAGTAAAAATTAACAGGGCAGACCATGTCCGAAGGTAAACATTATGCATTTGCTTTGCAAATGTTACTTCTCTAGTTTGTTCTTATCTTTTCTACTGTGTTTTTTTTTTTTTGCAATACAAGCTTAAGCAAACCCATCACCAACCCATCTTGTAAGCTTAAGGATTGTGACTGAAATTTGTTATAATAGCTCTTGCAATGTCTCAATCATTTTGTTCATGACATTGATATATAATTTTAGATGCTTAACGAGACAACATCAATCAGGCCTTGAATAGGCTGAATCCTCAAGAAATATCAAGAGCACCAATTACTGTGTGGAAAGATGGTTGCTAATTGCCTTCGACTGAAGGCTATGCCTTCGTGAGAAGGCTATGAAATCGCTTTTGCACTGTTTGGCAGATTATGCACGATAACTCTTGAAGGCAAGGTCCGAGGTTCACGATTTTTGGCAGGCAGGTTGTCTTGGGGATGGCCATTGTCAAGGCCAAAAATGGGCTTCGTGGGGGGTTCCTACGTCACTGTAGTTGACCTTGATTTTTGGTGTTTTTCCTTGTGTACAAGATAACTTGTTGGAGTATGAATTTGTTGTCTGTAATCTGCCTTCATAAGCCCCTAAAAACAGTTGCAGTTTAGGCCACACCAATTTAATTTCTTGGTTAACGGATTCGCCCACTTCATTTTTTTCTGATTTGCAAAAAAAAAAAAAATTCAGAATCAACTGCAAAATGCTCATATTTTTCCCTGAACAGTTAAAAACAGTTCTTTTCTTCCTAGTTGTTACAGTTATTCCATCTTTCAATGCAGTGGTATCATTAAAATTTCGAAATTCATTGTTTGAATTTTCAACCAGCCTGTTGTGTTGACTTTATGGCTCCTAGCGTACCATTTTGAGCCATAATAGGATGCCTAGGCCTGTTTTTATTTTTTTCGCCCGCCCGTTCCATAATTTTTCTACAAAAAGTCTGTTAATCAAGAAATTAAATTGGTGTGGCCTAAGTCCCTGAAAACAGTTGTAGATGAGGCCAAGTGATATTGTAACTAGGTCAAACTTTCAAAGCAAGATGTTGAAATATGGTTTGGAAAGTACATATGATGCTGTCCTTAGTGCTGAATATGTGGTTAGGCCACACCAAGTAATTTTTATGAATAACGTCCGTGCGCGCATTGATTTTGGCCGGAAAACAGAAAAGAAACACAGAAAAAAACAGGAAGTGCTGCTTCCTGTCACTAAGACCAAAGAGTCACGAGAGTGCCGCAAATCGTAAGATTAACATTAAACCCGTAATACGAAATATGAGCACAAGAAACAGGACGGCAACTGCTGATCCACTGATTTATTGCTGTTTTCGTAAGGAAGAAAAAACTTGTTGGTTGTTACCCTGTGCTCTCTCATTCAATTTGTGTCCTAACATTTGTCGTCCCTTAGTATATTTCAAATCTAGACATCTTTTTTTTTGCCCTTCATGTAGTTTTTTCACACTTTCTCATTAGATTTACATGTATAATCTCCAGAGGACGTCATCCATAAAGATTACTTAGTGTGGTCTTACAAGGATTGTTTCAGCACAGCTGATAAAGCTGGTGTATTGTACAGGATTGAAGTTATAGTTTTTAACTGATTCAGATACAGAAACTGATTTGGAAGATTCAAAGAGAGAGAGAGAGAGTAGGGGGGACTGTCCTTGGTGCTGAAGTTATGGCTACCCTGGCTTTCCACTGAAACATCGTTATTTTTAACACCCTCTGCATGTAGCTCTTCCATAAAACAAAAAGCTGCTGTAACTGTTGAAAGACAACAAAATGTTGGCTGCAAGATACCTGAGATCACAGCTTACATATCTAACATTGGGCCACACCAATTTACATGTACTTGTAATTTGTTGGTTCTCGTATTTGCTTGCTTCTTTTTTTTCCCAATTTGTAGCAAAAACATGTCAGGCTCTGAATCAACTCTAAAATGCTCAAATTTTGGCTTCAACTGTTGAAGAAGGTTCCTTCTCTTCAGAGTTGTTACAGAGTTTTTTTTTCCATCTATCAATGCAGTGGTTTGATTAAAAGTTTGAAATCCATTGTTTGAATTACAAACCAGCCTGGTATGTTGACTTCAAGGCTCCTATATGAGTCCTATCACAGAGTGCCTGTTGTTTTTTTCACCGTGTCGCTTCATATTTTATCTGAAAAAATCCAAGAACCAACAAATCAAATTGGTGTGGCCTTAACCACACAATTTCTCCATATGATTATTACCACCCTATATTCATCAATTGATTATGACAATAATGAATAGTAGATGCTGAGACTTGTAATATAGGACAAATAATATGTGGCATTTGCTCCTAACACCACCGGTGCATGTATTGACCTATTTCTTGTTGTCACTAAGATTTTCAAAGAGCCAGTCTAAATTTACATGATATGCAAAGCCTTATATCTTTTTTTGTTTTATGTTAAACCTTTGTACTTTTATCAAACTAGTTATAAGGCACACACACGCGGAAGCCTTCTATCTCCAGTGCTCTATCAAGCGATGCTTTTAGACTTTCCCTGCCTTTATCATAGTTAATACATGAAAGGAATGAAATGAGACGAAAGGTCTGCAGGATAAAGATAGGCTTAGAAGGTTGTCGAACTCTGAGGGATGCAAAGGGACAAACCAATGAGGACTATAGGGGGTACTCTGAGGGATGGAAAGGGACAAACCAATGAAGACTATAGGGGGTACTCTGAGGGATGGAAAGGGACAAACCAATGAAGACTAGGGGGTACTCTAAGGGATACAAAGGGACAAACCAATGAAGACTATAGGGGGTACTCTGAGGGATGGAAAGGGACAAACCAATGAAGACTATAGGGGGTACGCTATAAAATCTATGTGTGTAGCCCTCCTTTTCTTGTACAATATTTAGAGTTTCGTCCATCTCATATTATATATATATATCATATCACTAGAGACTGACATTGTCTAATAAAAAAGAAAGGAACAAAAAAAAAAGATAATCCCTACCTACCAACTCTAATTCTAATACGATTGAAACAGGAAACACAACATTTTTTTCATAGGCCCAAACAGTTACCCCTTTGCAAACCTTCCTGGTGCTATCCTCGGCTTTTGAATTTTACCTGCCTCAGTTGTTGCCTTTTAACCCATTGAAGTGGAAAGAGCCTCCCCGTGGAGAGAGCTCTAAGTGAAATATGAAATTCACACAGTGATTGATCTCAACCCTTCACAGAGCCAACAGATGAGGAAAGGTCACAACTAGAGCTGTGTACCTAAACAAATCTTAGGTACAGGTACAGGTACAGGTACACAGGGTTAGGTACAGGTCCAGACCTGAACCTGTACCTGAACAATTCGACCAATTTATATGGTCTTCTGAACTCCTTCAATAACAAAAAAACATAAATAAACTTGATAGTTAAGGTTTATTCTTTGTTTATGGCGAATGCTCAGATAAAATATAGGCAAAACTAAGATGTTTTTGTTTTCATGAACACACTGTCCTTACACAGGCACCCATTGTTAACCAGCTATTTAAACATTTGAGGTCACAAATAGGCATAAAATTAGTGTGAAATTGTTTAGGTACAGTACCGGTACTGAGGGATTAGGTATTTTGGACCTGTACCTAATCAATTTTTCCGGTACAGTATCGGTACTGTGTACCGGTACACAGCTCTAGTCACAACACAAGACCAGACCTTTGAATAGTGTAGTATTGAAGCGAAATATTTTGATGTTGTTCTAAGGGTCCTGGCACTCTATGGCAGGCTTTAGAAACAGCAAATCCAGACATTTCTTGGAAATGGTGGTGTGGATTTTTATGATGTGTGAATAACGTTTTATTCCTCTTTTTTTTTTTGTCTGTACAGATCACAGTGTACCTGGGAAAAAGAGACTTTGTCGACCACCTAACACACGTGGACCCAGTAGGTGGGTATATGCAAGTAGAATACACCCATTTTTCTCATTCTCAAGCATACATGTATGTTTGGATTCGGTCGCCAGTCACCACAAAACAAGGCTCATGGGAGCCACTTAAAATGATTTGGGTTACAGAACAGCCAGTGAGGACAGATGTTTGTTGACCTTAGACTTGAAGAGTTTAAGGTTATACTCATAGAGGAAGCAATCACGAGGTAGCTTATTCCAAAGTGATGTTGTTCTTGGAAAGAAGCTTTCAGCATGGAACTTCCTCCTAAGAGGTGGTGAATGGAGGAAGAAAGGGTGATTTGCTTCGGTGGAAGTGGCAAGACGTGTCCTTGTTTCAAAGTGGGGGCACTAGCAAATGAAGTTCCATGGAGCATTTGCCGTGGAAGTAGCGATAAAATAATGCAAGGCTTGCAACGTTACGCCTATGTGAGAGTGGTTGTAGCTATAGGGTGGCAAACAAGTCACTCCCAACAAGATTATAAACAATTCTGGCTACCTTTTGTACAGTTATGTCACTGAGTAAAGAGATTCTTTTTACACAACCAAGTCTTTTATTCAGCTGACGTTTTGGTGACATGTCTGAATCAGATTGCACTGCAGCACAGGTGTCGCTGCTATAGATGCATTCCCAAACATAGAGTACTACTGCAGTGCAATGTGAACCAGTCAGAATTGCCCTGAGGAAGGTGACAGACGGTCACCAAAACGTCGGCTGAATAAAAAGACATGGTTGTGTAAAAAGAGTCTATTTGCTCAATTCTGGCAGCACCCCATTTTGCCACATACAATCCTGCAACATTAGTTTGTGAGTCAGAAAAATTGACTATTACTAACAAAAGTTTTGAAGACTGTATTCCTTCCTGATTCAAAGACATCTTCATTGATCTTACCAAGGCATTTCTCCTTTGCAAGTCTGGCACTTTTCCATAGCCTGCGAAATTGAGGAATGCCGATTGAAAACTTTTTAACTCAGCAAATTGTTTAAATCTCGGGAAAATCATATTGTCCGTAGCTTTCACCTGGCGCAGCCAAGTTTAGCTGTTTCTGATTGGCAGGAGAATTGGAAAGGATTTCTGCCAGAGAGAGCCCTTTGTCCACGGACTACAAGTAGCTTTTGAGTGTGTTCATGCTTAGCCAACTTGGAAATGGAAGTGATGTGAGGCATGGGTTCACCTCAGATCCACCCAATACTACAACAAAGGCACACAGAGAAGGGATCACAACAGTGACCTTTCTCAAAATTAAGTTTGAAGTCTGGCACCAGTGCACTTAAATTGGACTTGGTGGTGATTTTCAATGTGCTTAGGCTACACCAATTTAATTTGTTGGTTCTCGGATTCGCCTCTTCATTTTTTTCAGATTCTGGTTCTGAATCAACTCAAATATGCTCATATTTTGCCCCCAACAGTTGAGGAAAGTCCTTTTCTTTCCAATTGTTACAATTTTTCCATCTCTCAATGCAGTGGATTGATTAAAAGTTAAAATTCATTGTTTATATATTAACCCATGCAGCCTTTTGTGTTGACTTCATGGCTCCTATCGTACCATTTGGGGCTATAATAGGATGCCTAGGCCTGTTTTTTTCGCCCACCTGCTCCATTATTTTTCAAGAAAAATCTGTTAACCAAGAAATTAAATTGGTGTGGCCTTAGGGGTGGGTGATGCAACGGCAAAAGAGTTTGCACTCTTTAAGGAAATTCTGTCTAACGATGGCTTAGACAGGCTTTCACAAAATGTAAGTAAATACATCAATAAGACTTTCTTTTTCAAATTTCTTACAAGCCCTCCTGTTTAAAGGTCTAACGTTCTTGGCACAGTGGATGACAGTGGGGCTGTTAGAATGTAAAAATAGCCTGCATCTTAATGTAGCCTCCCTATCTGTCTGCCATCTGTGTCCCATGGGACACGTAAAACATGACGGGAATGCCAATATTCGGATGTGAAAGCGTGTCTTAGACTATTCACCAGCGGGGGGTTATCTACAAATGGACTAGGCTGCACGCCAGGGAAAGTGAGGGAAGGGATTTTGGAAGCTCACTCAATGAAATACTGTAGAATATTGATGTTATTTGATTTTGACCTCTACATGAGGACAAATCAATCATTTGTACAGCTGAATTTGTTTGTAGTTTTTGCGTGGGAGCTCAAGTTGAAGCTAGCCCATGCACTGCAACATACATTTTAACATTCAATCTATCAATCTTCTATACCCTTCTATATCTTGGAGTATGTATCCATCATAATGCCACACCAATTTAATTTCTTGGTTAACGGATTTTTCTAGAAAAATAATGTAGCTGGCGGGCGAAAAAAAAAATACAAACAGGCCTAGGCATCCTATTATGGCCCAAAATCGTACGATAGGAGCCATGAAATCAACACACCAGGCTGGTTCAAAATTTTAACAATGAATTTTGAACTTTTAATGATACCACTGCATTGAAAGATGGAATGACTGAAACAACTAGCAAGAAAAGGACTGTTTCTGTACTGTTCAGGGCAAAATATGAGCATTTTGCAGTTGATTCAGAATTTTTTTTTTTTTAGCAAATCAAAAAAAAATGAAGCTGGTGAATCTATTAACCAAGGAATTAAATTGGTGTGGCTTAAAGAAAAGGCTTTGAAGACGATGTACACACGGCATAAATTCAAGAATTTCTGAGGCTCAACCTACTGTACGCCCATGAGAGCATACACTATAGGACTGGCACACAATTCTGTCCTCACGAGACATCGGATCTTCAGGGCTCTCCTGCAACTTGAATTACATTTCGCATCCCAATCTCTTCAGTCCGCCTTTGATCTCCTAGACAGAGATGATTCACCTAAAATAAATAGGACTCGAGATCCAAAGGCCCAAATCGGATTTTCTTTCCTCCTCCTCCTTAAAGTGTTAGAAAATATCAAGAGGGAAGTAACATGGTAACATGAATTACACATTATACTACTTTACTTCGGGGGAGTGCGTTCATGCAATTGGCCTAGCATATAATCATCCAGCCACGCAAAGCTTGGCACCCAAAATTCTGCCAGTTAGAACCAAGGTTATTGCTACATGGATCAAAAAGATACGCATGTATTTTTAGAAGATAAATCAAATTCATTGGTCGAGCTTTGCGTTTGAAGTCCAGAGTCTTCTTGGAATTATTATTGAAGTCACGGTGAGGATGTGCAGTGCATGATAATCGTGCCTTCCGTTGTTGTTGCCTAAGGACTTTCAGTACTGTCATCATCATAATCCATTGGGCTCTGCATCCTCTGAGTGATAGAAACATCCTAAAGTTGCAAGGCTCGAAATTCATTTTTGGGAGTAGGTGCAATTGTGCACCCAACCTAAAAAATTGGGTGCACCATATCAACAGATTATGATAAACGGAAGAAGGAAAGAGATGTGCCCAAAACCACATAGGAGAAATTCAAATAAACTGTAATCTTAACTGTAATCTGATTAAATCCTTTTTAAGTCTCTCTGATTTACCCTATTGTGCTTTTCTATGCTTTACAGATGGCGTTATCCTGGTGGACAAAGAATACCTGAAGGACAGAAAAGGTGATGACATTTACTGTTACAGTATCTTTAAGATTGTAGAAGAATTCAGCCATTCAACTATAAAGTAATAATTATGTTTACCAAAGGAAAACATATGGTTTTTGCTCTGTTTCCTCTTCCTCTTCTTTTCCAAACCAATAAGGTCAATGACCTGAACCAGACATCTGTCACCATGGTAACTAGTGTTGGGTTGCATCATGTTGCAATTTTATAGCAGGAGGGATTTAGATTGAGTCTCCTAACTGACCAAATGTATGAATTTGTTTGAGTAAAATTAACAAAGCAGACCATATGCGAAAGTAAACATTATGCATTTGCTTTGCAAATTACATGTACCTCTCTAGTTTCTTTCTTTCTTTTGTCTCAATTTAACAATTTTGTACAGAAGTTTTAATTTCCCTGTCCTGTTGCAGTGTTTTCACACATTCTAGCAGCATTCCGATATGGGCGTGAGGACCTGGATGTGTTGGGGCTGACGTTTAGAAAGGACCTGTACATCGCCTCCGCCCAGGTCTACCCACCGCAGCCCTCCGAACAGAAGCCTCTAACCAGACTTCAGGAAAGGCTCATCAAAAAACTGGGACAGAATGCCTATCCTTTCTTCTTTGAGGTAAGCACTTGCAGACAAGAAAATATAGAAAAATGCAGCTGTTGAAGTTGCATTAACCATATAGAGGAACATCCGGAAATATTTACCTTTTAACTGTTACTTGCTTCATTTGCCCATATAAGGTCATATGCCCATATAAGGTCATATGCCCATATAAGGTCATATATGACTTTTATTACGCAACAATGTACAAGGTACAAAGTATGGCAGAAATGAGAGAACAAATCTAACAAATCAGTCTACGTAGTACAATACTAGGTGATATGGGATGAAAAGGCGCTTATACAATCATTAAAAGAATTTCTTATGTCCATTTAAGGCCATATGCTCATATAAGGTCATATGCCCATCATCATCATATAAGGTCATACATGTATGTCCATAAAAGGTCATATGCCCATATAAGGTCATATGCCCATATAAGGAATTTGGGTCAGTCATACTGAAGAAGGCTGAATAGATGGCCAGAAGTTAAAGCAAGTACAAATTTCGTTGCTTGGAAGGAAAGTTAACTCTGTGGTAAAATGGAATAACAGAAAAATAAAATGAGTATCCGCAACATTTTGTCTGGTAATAGTGTGTAACTGAAATGTGAAATCAGCAAAAAAAAAAAAACTTACCCCTACCAGTACTGTTGAATGGAATGACCTCTTTTCTTTCACAGATGCCCAAAAATGCACCATCATCGGTCACCCTGCAGCCTGCCCCAGGGGACACTGGGAAGGTATGTGCCAGCACACCTTGAATAGAGCCTGTTAGCCTGTAAGTGTCCATGAATCCTGATAAAGCAATTCGATGGCTTATACATTGATCCCTGGGGAACATAGAAAGGCGCAGGTGGTAGCATTGAAAAATGGGACTGTTATCTGTTATCATGTACATTATTTCAATACTTCAACTTGAATGGATATACCAGTAGATTTATCTTGTCTGTATTGCTATAGAGACATTGGCAAGGATTTTTCTATAGTCTGAAATATACATGTATATATTATATAGCGTGACATATATGCTCTGAGACTTAAAATTTCAAAGACTGCTACAGTAACTGTAACAATTGTTTTCCTACCCTTTGACCAATTGCAGGGATTAAACTCACTTTTTGTAAAGCCTTTAACTTTAAGTTCACACAGCAATTTTTCTGATTATAATTAGAACAACAGGACACTGTTATAAATCCTAGGAGTTATTCCAATTATTATCTGTGTAGTGGCTCTCTTGCAAGCAGTTTTTATGTTTACCGAAGGAAAACATATTGTTTTTACTCAATTTCCTCTTCTCCAAACACTAACCTCTGACCTGGCCAATGACATGATTTGTTGACGTCTGTCACCATGGTGACTGGTGTTGGGTTACATAATGTTGCAAACTTCATGGTCTGCTCTGCTCCTGTCACCATATACTAGTAGTACATGTATGCGAAATTCGTGTTTGAGTAAAAATTAACAGAGCAGACCGTATCCGAAGGTAAACATTATGCATTTGCTTCGCAAATGTTACTTTTCTACTTCCATAAAGGCTTACTCCCCAGGACTTTCTTGGCAGGGGCATTTCCCCCCATGGGTTTTCTCTATCCTATGGTTTACTCCTCTGCCAAATGAGTCCTAAAAACTCTAAAGTAAGTTGTTTGCTCGAACCATGCCATCCCAGGAAACAGTAAGTTTAAATACAAATAAACGTTTATTCAACTCTAACCAGTTAGTTGTAGAATCCACAGTAACTACCCCCAAACCATCATTACAAAATAACATTACTCATTCCATATCACCTCTTATTTCAGAAACAAAAGTTAAATGTACCCTAAACTTTTAAAACATATAACATACTCATCTCATGGTACAGTTAGCTTAAAAGATGACTAACATCCCCTAACCTGCAGTTTAAAAACATGTTCATCACATACAATGATCTTTAGTCAGTAACATTTCATGTTTAAAGTCTTCATTGTACATGTAGATAACATCCCACCACAACAACCAACCTTGTTTAACAGTAGTCTTAAAAATGTAGAAACTTCCCAATATCCCTAAATTGTAAATACAAATTACAATTAACATACATTGTACCATACTAAATGTAGTCCTACAATGTAGAAATCACATTTAATGTCCTTGGATCTTCACTGTTAATATCATAATACCACAGTTAGATTTAGAAAGAGCAAATAACCTCTAACATTCTTACTGATATCATGTTCATCCCATTCCACAGTTACATTATTGTAGTCTCGGAAACAATAACTAAATGTCCCTATTAGTAAGATCATCAGTGTTGGTGTCCTATTCATTTCATACTTATAATTAGTCTATAATCTAAATCTAGTATTGAGAGTCTTAGAAATGATAGTCAAACATCCCAAAAGTTTGGTAGTAGGACCTGGTGTTTTAACAAGTCAATTAATTAATTTAACCCTCAATAATAATAACAAACTAACCCTCCACATCCTAGACAAGTAGTTACTACTTTCAAAGTAGTTTAATTTGAGTTGAAACTCCAACAGTTTCAAGAACTCTTTTGTCAGAGTCTGTCTTTGTCTAAGTTGTTTTCTGTCACCACAGACCATAATGTACAACAGGAAAGTCCATTCACCACATAACTATCATTGCCATGACTCTCAGTGTCCCATTGTTCAGCTGTTGTTGTTTTACCTTCCAGCCATGTGGTGTGGACTACGAACTGAAGGCATTTGTTGCAGACAGCATAGAAGAGAAAGCTCACAAAAGGTAAGGGAATAATGGACTCCTTCATTCTTGTTTTGACATGCGTGTACCTAGAAGAAAAATAGAATTTTTAAACGTCTCCAATTATTTCTTCTACAGAAATAATCAGTGCATTAGTTATAACTATATCTGTATCAGTATAGCCAGTATAACAGCCCTTCAGCATAACACACCAGCATCGCAGTTTGAACAACTTCTTACACCGTATTTCAACTGTATTGATCTTACTGTCTTCTAACTGTGGCTTTCTGGTACCTTTGACCCATTACTGGAGTCATGTGACCCTATTACTAGTATGAGTCATGTGACTGTCCATGAGTCATGTGACTGTCACAACATTGGGTCATTTTTCCTGATGGAGGCTGGAGTGATAACCAAACATGGATAACATGAGTTTCATGAAGTGTTGGGACAAAAGTTGACTTTTCTCTAATATATCTTTGATTTTCAAACCTTCCCTCAGAAATTCTGTACGACTTGCCATCCGTAAAGTGACATACGCCCCCTCGACGCCTGGACCTCAGCCCTTCGCAGAGGCCAGCAGAGAATTCATGATGAGCGCCAACCCTCTACACCTGGAGTGTTCGCTGGATAAAGAGGTTAATTTGTTTTTTCTTAAACATTTAAGACTTTTTTGGGGTTGGACAAGTCTTCAAAAATCCGCATGGTCATTTCCACTTGCCCAAACGTACTTTTCACTTGCCCAAAGTATAAATGACATATTTTGACGCGTTTTTACTTGCAGCAAGGAAATTAACTTTCATTTTTAAAGTAAATTGGTGGTTTGAGATTCGCAATGGATTTTCTGACAAAAGGGCATCAATATGATATCTTAATGGGGAAGACACAAAAAATGCCACATCAAAAAAATTTACTTGCCCAATCGGGTGAGTACAGAGGAATATGCACTTACCCAAACAGTGCTTTTACTTGCCCTGGGAAAGTGGACTTGTCCAACCCTACTTTTTTCTTAACCATTGATATTCCTTTTAAAATTTTAGGAAGCAGTCAGAAGTATTCTTCATTCTAAAAAAAATCCCCCCCCACAGTTTAAGTGGAATAACTTTTGAAATGCCTGTTGTTTTTAGTTGTACTACCATGGGGAGCCCATCAACGTTAACGTGCAGATAACCAACAACTCCAACAAGACAGTCAAGAAAATCAGAATATCAGGTGAGGTTTATTAGTTATTATGTTTTCCTTTGCAATATTGTTTTTGCTCTGTTTATTCTTCCTCTTCTTCTCCAAGCAAATAAGGTCATTGACCTGAACCAGACGTCTGTCACCATGGTAACCAGTGCTGGGTTAAATCATGTTGCAATTTTATAGCAGGAGGGATTTAAACTCCTGTCAACATACACGACATACATTTGTAAATGTGTTTGAGTAACACAGCAGACCATATGTGAAGGTAAACATTATGCATTTGCTTTTCAATTTTTTCTAGTTAGTTATTAGTTCTTAAGCAATTTTTTAGGATTGATAGCTTTGGTATTGTGGTAGAATATCATTGTGTGAAAATTTGCACGTTGGCAATGTTATAATGTGTTTATTCTTGTGTCTTTTGCAGTTCGACAGTTTGCTGACATCTGCCTGTTCTCCACGGCTCAGTACAAGTGTCCAGTTGCCATCCTGGAAACAGAGTAAGTTTAGTGCTATTGTAGGATGCCTAGGCCTGTTGTTATTTTTATTTTTTTGCCCTGTCGCTTCATATTTTTTCTAAAAATATCCAAAAACCAACAGATCAAATAGGCCAGTTTACCTTTCACAAGGGTGACATTTCGAATAGAACATCCATTTTAGAACTGGATTTTGCTTGCATTGTCCCCCTGGCCAGCAGATTTCCTGATGTGTGTACCATTAATTTCTGAAAGTTCCTGACCTGCGCTGGTACAATGAGTCTAAAGCGTATCGATACTTCACTGAAGGATGGCTGTCCCCTGTTTCCTTCCACCCAATCTCACCAGATAGCCGATTGTATTATCTGAGAGCAGAATGCAGACCATCGCAGTGATCTGTCAGGAGGGACACTGCAAGCGAAAGCCATGTTTAACTTCCGGGTTCTAGAATGGCGTTCTATTAAAAATGTCCCCCCTGTGATGTAAGCAGTTCTTAAAATCCCTGAAAATTAGATTGATGTATTGGTGTGGCCTTAGTATGCATGACACTGTTCTTAACTTGTGCCTGTGGTTCTGTGTAGGGACGGTTTTCCTGTAGGGCCCAGCCAGACGTTATCCAAGGTGTACACGGTCTGCCCGCTCCTGAAGAACAACCTGGACAAACGGGGACTGGCGCTGGACGGCAAACTAAAGCACGAGGACACCAACCTGGCCTCATCCACCATGTAAGACTCCTGGACATCTGTAAAATAAAGTGCTGCTCCGAATAAGTTGAAAAGATATGGCTTATCACATGTAACTGTATCAACAACATGTATTTAGAACTAGAAAGGTAACATTTGCAAAGCAAATGCATAATGTTTAACTTCGCATATAATCTGCTCTGTTAATTCTTACTCAAACACATTCATATATATGGTCAGACAGGAGTCTAAATCTCTCCTGCTATAAAATTGCAACATGATGTAATCCAACACCAGTTACTATGGTGATAGATGTCTGGTTCAGGTCATTGACCTTACTGGTTTGGAAATGAAGAGGAAAATTTAATAGAGCAAAAACAACATGTTTTCCTTTGGTAAAAATTTCTTGTATATGCCTGTTTTGAAAATAATTGGAAATACACATGTATCAAGAATGTCACTTGCATCAACCAGACAGTTTTTGTCCCTTGTGCTGAATGGCATTCTCATTAGCCATACCATCCTTAGTGGATGTAAACTTTAACTTAGCTAGCTCAAAGTCATAGTAATATCTACAGCAACAGCCTCTCTCAGTGTTGGACGACATGCATGCAAATTACTGCATTTGCTTCTACCCTACTTAATTGTATCTGTATCCCCGGTGCTGAATGACAATTTGATTACAACATTCATTTTAAAGATCACTCACATATCTGTACCTGTCCCTGGTGCTGAATGACATTCTCATTACTGCCTTCATTTTTTAGAAAATATGAGAGTGGTTGTATCTGTCCCTGGTGCTGAATAGCATTCAGAATTCTGCATTCCTATCATGTGGAATCAATCACATACGTGCATGTAACCAAGGTGCTGAGTGACAGTTTAATTACAGCATTCATTTTGAGAGAACATTCCTGTGATCATATCTGTCCCATGTGCCAAAAGACATTCACGTCAGCACATTTATGTATACAGATGCACTAAAGAACAACCACATAGCTTCATTAGTGCCTGGGTTTGAATGACATTCTAACTTATTGAATCTAAGACCACACCAATTTAATTTCTTGGTTAACCGATTTGCACGCTTCATTTTTTTCTGATTTGCAAATAAAAATAAAAATTCAGAATCAACAGCAAAATGCTCATATTTTTCCCTGAACAGTTGAAAACAGTCCTCTTCATCCTAGTTGTTACAGTTATTCCATCTTTCAATGCAATGGTATCATTAAAAGTTCAAAATTCATTGTTTAAATTTTGAACCAGGCTGGTGTGTTGACTTCATGGCTCCTATTGTATCATTTTGGGCCATAATAGGAAACCTAGGCCTGTTTTTTTTTCTCCCGCCCGCTCCATTGTTTTCCTTCAAAAATCCGTTAACCAAGAAATAAAATTGGTGTGGCCTAATCACTGTATTCATCTCTGAAGAGCCCTTGAAGAGATATATCTCTCTCTTATGCTGAATGATGCTCAAATTACCGGGTACTCTATTATTTGTTAGTCAATAGGAAAAGATAGCTTCATTAGTCCATGGTTTTGAATGCCACTCTGATTGCGGTACACTAAACTGCACCCATTCTCATGAACATGCACATTGCTTTATCTGTCACTTATACTGATTGGCATCCAAATCACTCAGTGTACTGTAGATTGTGAAATGTTTTCAGTAGTTTCGTGTTCACTTTTTGTTGTAACCTCTTTAAACACATCCCACTGCACACATATACATGAAGGTTCTTTCTGGCATTGGCATTGCATTATATGGTTGTTTCAACAACAAATGTGTCCATAATATTACCAGGGTCCATAATATCGCCACCTTGAGAAACAGTGTGCTTAAAGATATTTTTACTGCAACATACCCTAGGTATGTACATTTGATGTGTGAAGGAATGCATACCAAAAGTATGTTACAGTAAAAATATCTTTAAGCACACTGTTTCTCAAGGTGGCGATATTATGGACCCTGGTGATATTAGGGACACAGATGTTACATGTAAAACACTGTAAATGTACCATAGAATCTGCCATCGACCATAGAATCCCCCCGCAAGCTTTAATCAATCTACAGTATGTGCTCATCACTGCTGATGAACCTTTGCATTGCTTTACCTGTCCCTGGTGCTGATTGGCATTCAGATCAATACTGTACATTTGTGTACATCAGCACGTCGGCAGAACGTACTGTACCAATTGCGCTAAATTCGTAATGCATTGTACATAGCACTTTGGCAGAACTTCTCATATGAGGTCGTATTCGCACATATAAGGTTAACATCCCATCTGTAGTGTCCAAATGACGGAAAAATATCCTTATGATGCAACAGGCATAGTTCTAATGCAATGGTGACCAAAAGTCCAACAGAAAAATGCGAAAAATCAGGGTTTTGCCCAGGCACAGTACAATGTACATTCTGCCGACATGCTGTGTACATCCATCTTCAAAGAACTCTTGTATATCTGTATCTACCCCTGGAACTGAACAGTCTGTACTAAAACCCCCTACAGAAGGAAATTATCACACTACACTTAGATCTGCAGTACTAGAAATACTTTCTGATTTCTGCATTGTTCAATATTCCATTTAGAGTTACAGTGTCTGTATACTCTTAGCTTGGCAAAAATGCAAACTGTTGATATGTTTAAAGTTAAAACTTTTATTAGATCCAACACTAAGAAGTTTTCTCACCTAGAGCTTCGACCAGTCACTCTGGTCTTCCTCAGTAGATTGACCCAGTGAAGCTTGTCACGTGGCTTCTTTGAAGTGTGACGTCAACACTGGGTCAAAGGTAGACGATGTCGACCCCCATCACGGTTGAGTGAAGGGTGATGGGCCCTGATGTAAATATCCTCTTTCACCCCTCTCAGGAAATAGTCTTGTTCTGTGTCCAATATTCTTACAGTGTCCAGTGAAACAAAAGTCCAGGTGTTTATATTTTATCTGCAATGTTTGGAATTTTTTGGCAGCTTGCAAGTGAGTCTGTTGAACCCTACTCTGGTACAGGACATCATTCACACACCCTGTGCTAATACTTAGCCTCCTTCGCAGTCTTGTTGGGCGTCGGCATTATTTTTTCTCTGAGCGACGCGAGTAATATGTGGCCGCGAGGGATGATTTGCTGCCGAGGGAGTTTCTGGCACGGAGAGAAGGTTGGAGCGCGAAACCTTCTCTCCGTGGCAAAAACTCCCTCGGCAGCAAATCGTCCCTCGCCGCCGCATATTACTCACGTCGCTCAGAGAAAAAATAACGCCGACGCCTAACAAGACTGCAAAGGAGGCTAGCTACTACTATGCAACTTACATCCGTCCATTTTTTTTATTTCAGCATGACAAAGGACACAACCAGAGAGAATCTTGGGATAGTTGTGCAGTACAAGGTTAAAATCAGGCTGATCGTGGCCTATGGAGGGTAAGCTAAGACTATCCCGGAATCATCATCATATGTATTTCATGTAGCAAACTTTTGGACCACTACAATGTATATGTCTTCTTTTTTCTTGAGACATTCATATACAAATTTACAGAAGACTAAAGACATTATATGTAAGAACAGATGTACATATTTTTGTAACTATTTTAATAAACAAACTAAGGTTTTGTGTAAATTGCTGTACAGTGGACACTCGACAATAAAGGAAATGGGCTTTGTTTTCTATGCTATTCATATCACAACATACAACAAAGTGTGCTGGTGAGTTGAGATTGACAATTTTTTTGTTTCATGTATGACAGAGACCTGTCTGTTGAGCTGCCCTTCACTCTGAGCCACCCCAAACCTGAGACCCCACCTCCCAGCCCTAAACCTGACAGGGCACAAGGTTAGTAACAACACTTACTCTACACTCCATTAGTATCTTTGTCAAGAAGGCCATTTTTTGGTGTGTTGATGCATGCATGTAGCTTTGTGCACTACCAAAAATGATTTTTCTTATTTTCTTAATTCATGGACCAATTTTCTTGCACGAAGAAATTTCAAGAAAAATTAAGAATGAATAAGAAAAGAGCAAGAGATCGTTCAAAGGTTCTTTTCTTGTAAATTTTCACTACAAGAAACATTTCTTATTTTTCTTAAATGAGTGTTTAGAGTGTTCTAAAAAAGTAAGCTAAACAATCTTGTTTTTCTTGTCTGAAGAATAAACTTTCTTGCGATGGTTGAGAAAATACAAGTATTTTTCCTTTCCCTTTCTTGTTTTTCTGATGTGTGTGTTTATGGAAACAAGAAATTGTTTGGGATCTTTGTGGTACCAGTATTTGGTGTATATGTTGAATCATGAGTTTGTTTAGTCTTTAGGCCATGTTTGACAGACTCACTGTTATTTGTTCTGACAAATTGCATTGTATGGATACAAAACTGATTTGATTTTGTTTTTCTTAACAGAAGCACCAGTGGACACAAACCTCATTAATCTGGAAACCAGGTAAGAAGATATCCTATTTATCTATACTATTTGTTTAGCTTTAAAGGTTGATATCTATAGGATGTAGTCCATTTATTATGAACAGAGTTTCATGCAAAAGATCATTAAAACCCTTTAGAGTGACATAAATCATACATTGATAATTATGTTTTCTCTGTACAAAGTTATTTTATGATATTACATGAGTTAACTATTCTTCAAACATTAAATTTCTCCATTAGAGACATTTCTAATTTCATACAATGTCATGTATATTCCTTTCTCTCTGTTTCCATGTTTCTTATACTCGTTTGGTATGGGGTGTTCCTTAATTAAACGTACACAAGTCTTCAATACAATTTGGCTGACCATGTAGACATTTGAGACTCTGGGTTGAAAGACGTTTTCCCAAAGAAATTGCTTCTGAACAGTTGAAATGACACATAATTTTTCAGCCATTCTAGGAAATTTTGAAGGTCACACTTTTTCAATTAAAATTCCTGTGACTTTTAGCTGGGAGAAGGTTAAGTTTGTTTTTTTTTTGGATAACATCATTCAAATGCTCATTCATTCAGTTTAGGCCACACCAATTTCATTTCTTGGTTAACGAATTTTTCTAGAAAAATAATGGAGCGGGAGGGCGAAAAAAAATAAAATAAATATAAAAACAGGCCTATGACATCCTATTATGGCCCAAAATGGTACGATAGGAGCCATGAAGTCAACACACCAGGCTGGTTCAAAATTTAAACAATGAATTTTGAACTTTTAATGATACCACTGCATTGAAAGATGGAATAACTGTAACAACTAGGAAGAAAGCGACTGTTTTCAACTGTTCAGGGCAAAATAAGAGCATTTTGCAGTTGATTCTGTAATTTTTTTTTTTTTTTGCAAATCAGAAAAAAATGAAGCGGGCAAATCCGTTAACCAAGAAATTAAATTGATGTGGCCTTATTCAAAGGTCACCAGCAAAAAATGCAGTTGACCTTATTTTGAATGGAACACGTCATCCAGAAGGGTACCCTAATGCATGCTTTGTTTTCTATCATGTCTCTCTGCCCCCCTCCCCCCTTGCCGTATTGCTGCATGCAGTACTATCAATAGACCTCGGAGGTGGTAAGCCCACTCGAAGGCGTGCACTCAATCCTGTACGTTCTCATTGCATGGGTCATTCCATTGGTAGAGTAGGGGTGTGTGTAATTTATGTAGATCATAAATTTGGTTAGCAGAATTAGCTTTAGGTAGTGTATTAGATACTAGACAGTCATAGTGAATGTACAGTTATTTTGAAACAGTCGTTTGTAATTTTGGGGTCACTCAAAATCATCAACATTCCACATCCACTAACTGTCCGATTTTTTTCTCAGTTTTTGGTTTGTTTCAAAGTTTGGTTGTACGAATGTACCTAAGAAATCCTTGCACTTAGGTGTTAATCACATTTTACATGTTGTACAAATTGAATATACTGTGATACATTTTCTCATTTATTTTGCACTCCCGGCCTAATAACTAAAGACGTATCTCAGCACATCGGCAGAACATTCTGCGCCTGTGCGAAAACCTGATTTTTCACGGTATTCGTTTGATGTTTGGTCACTGTTGCATCAGAATTTCCCCCCCCCCAAAAAAAAAAACACAACATTTGGAAACAACAGACGGGATATATATGTAAATTTGGCCTTATATGAGACGTTCAACCAAATCGCTATGCACAATACATTGTACATTACAATACATCGCGCAGTGCAGTACATTCTGCCAACGTGCTACATATCTCCAAGTAGCACGTCGGCAGAACGTACTGCGCCTGCGCAGAACTCTGTATTTTCACGGTTTTGGGTGGATTTTTGGTCAACGTTGCATTAGAATTTTGCCTGTTGCAGAGGATATTTATTATGACATAACTTCTGCAAACTACAGATGAGATGTTTTCCTTATATGCGCGAATACGACCTTATATGAGACGTTCTGCCGACGTGCTATGTACAATACATTACGAGTTTCGCGCAGGTGCAGTACGTTTTTGTACGTCCTGCCGACGTGCTTCTCCAAGTGTCCTTCACATTCTATTGCTTGTACAATACATTACATTACGAATTTCGCGCAGGTGCAGTACATCCTGCCGACGTGCTTCTCCAAGTGTCCTTCACATTCTATTGCTTGTCTTGCACATTGTCTTGCACAAAGAACAGATCTCAAAGTTCAATGTTATTTTTATCAGACACCCTTCACCTTGCATGCCTTGCATAACAGCAAGGCTTTAGCTAATTGTATATTTTTGCAAAGGTCACGTAATACTGAGTAGATTGTGTGCAATGGAGGGTAGAAATATGGCCCATTAGGGGAAGTTGTCTCAGCCAACACTTGAACTAAATCAGGGGATAGACCAAATGTCTAGACACAGTGTCTGGAAAGAGCACCTAATGGGCCTATTAGAGAATATCATAGCACAACATACAACAGAACATTTACAATGAATAGAAAGAAAGTTGAAAGATGCTGAGAAAATTGTATTCTTTCACATTGTCCTGTAAAGATGACCATTTGTAAGATAATGTATACAGGAGAATTCTTGGGTCAAAACAATTTTCTATGCAGTTGAAGATTTTTTTTCAAGGCAAGTGGATCTGAAGAACAGTTGATTAAATCAGGGTGGCCCAGCCTCAACCTCTCGTAGTGTACATTGTACATGTACCTTATTGCATCAAATTTGGAGCTGTGCTCCCAATTTTTTCTGTGGGTGCACCAGTGCATCCAAAATATTTTTGTAGGTTTACACATGTAAAGATGTCAAATGTATAGAAGTATACAGCATATTCTTGACATCTAAGTGTCAGAAAAATAATAAAATCCTTGTTATTAATAGTACTTTTGTTTAGAATTGAAACAAAATAAGTTTGTGCTAACATTCTACTTCTTTTATCTTATATGGTGCACCCAAGAATTTTTTTGTGCACCAGCTGCAGTGCACCTATTCCCAAAAATGAATTTTCAAGCCCTGACAGTACTGAAACTGTAATTTAGCTGAAACTTAAATGCAACAGTTACTAAACAAGTCTGTGCTTTTTCCTCCTTCAGCGAAACCCCGGATAGTTACGGTAAGGACGATGATGACATAATCTTTGAGGACTTCGCTCGCATGCGACTTAAGGACCACGAAGGCGGCGACACCGAAGCCTGAGGAAACCCAAAAAGGCTCCCTCTTGATTCCGCAAAGTTGGTGTCACCATTTTCCTTCAAAACAGAACTGCCTTCAGATGGTAGGGAGTTCCCTAGACTGCCTTGTATATTATCAACAACCGTTGGAAAGTATTGCTTGATTGAAGTTTCAAATTTCGATCCAACACAAAACATAATGGCTGTTTGGCCATACCTTCAGCCTTTGTCAGGTTGACTGACCCAAGTACTTCTGTCACATGACTAGTAGTGGGTCAGAGGAGCCTGGGAGGCTGCACAGGATTAAAAGTTGAAACTTTGATCATCTTTGCTACCAACACAGGTTGATTTTCATGCTAATAAAAGTCTCATTCTTTAGATAGATAATGGAGTTACGCATATACTACCAACCACCTAGCCAATAACCAAGACTCATATGTGTAATATTGTGACCAATGAACGTGATGATTTTGTAACTGCCATACCATTGTGTGAATAGTCTGTGGTAAAAAACAAAAGGACCGTAAATTCGTCTGCAATGTATCATAGAATCGCAGTCGATAGTTACATAGTTTATTGCACATTTATATTGTGTTGAAAATCTATCTAGGATAACTGTCTTGTAAAGTGGATGTTTTGTATAAATTTTCTAGAGTGGGTATACATGTACTTTCTAGCCAAGCCTTTTTTTTTCATAAATCCAGATAATCAAAATCACAAATTCTTCAGGTCGTCTAATTCTTCATTTCATAATTCAGGTCTTATTTATTTCCAATAAGCCTCTTCAATATATGATACATATTGCTGGAAGTTGATTTTGCTATACAATATATATTTACATTGTATATCTAAAGATAAAACTACCATGAACAAGAACACTATCAGTACATTTGCAAGGGACCACTGCACTTATGTCAACAATACTAAATGCCATATTTTGCGTAGCTTTAAGACCATAATATTAACTTATCTGGATTCATGAAAAACTATTGAATGTTTGTCTGCCTATATTCTATTTCAAGGTTGACACTAGTCTTTGTTGTTACTGGTGAGTCTGTAATGTCTTGTCTGTTCGGCTCTTGTACAGTTGTAGGTTCCAGGCCAAGCTTTGTGAATCCAACCCTTACATTTTATAAAGGTATAGAATATATATATATATACGTGTGACACAGCCATCGACAGTATGCTAAAAGTAATACTTCTGTAACTCTCCAGACTTTGTACATGAATGTGAAAAATGTGAGTTTTTGAACTGCAGATGGAACTAGTACAGCTCGAGTGTTATTTTTAGAGCACTTTTTTAAAGTAAGGAAAGTGCAAAAGTAGAGTACAGGTTTATTAGGACTCCTGAAGTGATGAACAGAGGTCTTTAACCTTCTTCCAGCTGAGGAAGCCTTTTGGTCCAAACCAGAGGAGGCAGAAGGCATATCCCAGAGTTCCCTGTGACCTTTGACCCTCAGCTGGCAGGGGTTTGTGGAACGAGCAAGGATTCCTCTTAAGTTTTGCCCAATTTGCCCATATATATGTTCGATAGACAGGAAACGGCAATGTATTGTGGGATACGCCTTCTACCTCCTCTGGGTCCAAACTGTAGAGGTAACATTAGGTCAGACAGCAGGGAGAAGGTGAACTGTCCACACGCTGAACATTGACTTGTGGGAGTTGAAAGATAAGCACAAATGTCCGAGGACATGACCTTCAACAGTCAGGAATACTGATAATAACAGGTTTGTGTCAGCAGAACCTGTTCTGATTTGACTGTTATGTGTGCCGCCATCTTGGAAAGTCAAAGTTTAAGTTCAAGGGCACTGTATGTTTTCAAACTGTTCATTAGACAAGGCCGACTTGTAAATGATGGGGGCAATGTAAGAAGTATGAATGAGGGAGGGGGGCACTTTCGATAAAAGAAAGCAGGTGGACCAAGTGTGATTATTTTCAGTGAACCACCCAAAGAAAATCTTAGTAAGTACTGAAATCAAGTCTTATGCCAGCATGAGTCTTATTTCTTTCCTGCATCCATTGAAGTTTTATTTCTATACTAATTATTAAAAGCCTAGAAGGGAGATAAAATCAGCTAGCGATTTAATTCTTGTAGCAAGAAGTATAAGAATACTGACTTGTCCAGTAGACGAAATGGAAGAAGTGACAGTATAAAGGATATGATCTTAGATATGTATGATATATTAAGTAAGATATCATTATGAGAACACTAGTGAACACATTGTGCTTGAAGACACAAAAGCTTAAATATTGTCCTAAAGACTTTATCCTTATTAATCCATATAAAGAAAAAATGAATTCGTATGATAATAGTATATTGTGAGCTTGTCCCTGCTAGTTACATGGACATGAGCATTATTCCCTTGTGAATTGTTCCTTGATTCTGCCATGTTTTGTGAAGTTCCCATGCTTGGCTCTCTTGTATACAGATGAAGAAAAAAAAACTGTCGCTACACTAGATGTAGTTAGCCAAACTAAATCAGTTATTAACATGAGAAAACCCCAGTCATGAACTAATAGATCCAAACAAGTTTGGTGTTCAGTTAGTACAATGTTGTGTCATCGCTAAACACACTAGGTAGTGTTGAGTTTAAAGATTTGTTGTTGTTGTCACCTCATCTGGTTTTGTATTTCGTGCAACCAGTTAAGTATAGTGTCTGGCAGCCCAAATATCAGATATTTTTTAGTCAGATTAATTATTAATTATTGTTGTAGAGCCGTGGATGTCACAATCTTCTGTTTGAGTCGTAATCGGTCTAGGTTCCAATTATTCCATGACAGAATGAACTTAAGTGTTGTCCATAATCTAGCATCATATGAAATTATTGTGTATAAATATTATATATATATGATTATGATTAAAACTGTAACTTGTATGCCAACCACACGTGGGTTTTGTATCATTTTGTTTGGGTGCTTTTTTTGTGAGTGAACATTTGTAGCATGCACTTACACACCAGTTTATGAGTTACAAGTCAGATGGTTAGCAAATTGATTCTGGATATCAAATTTCATATTTTTTTAATTATCTGTACCTTACACTATTGATTGCTATCTAACGTGCATTACATAGTATATTTGCGATGATTAATATGAAATTGTCACCATTTCTGGTGAAAAGCATGGCAATTTAACTTTCGGTACACTAATGATCGAATTTCCATGAACATTCCTTGGTCATCCTATTTTCAGCTCACCAAATATTACTGCTGCAGTTCCAAGAAACGCTGCATGGAGGTGCAAACTTTTTTTTCACTTTTTTCCTGAGCATACTGTCAATATTCAAGGCCGGCTGACAGACTGAATTCAGAACAAAAGATGTAAAATGTTGTAGTTTACCCTAATGTAAATCTTCACATTTGTTAATCCTATAATCACGAAGATACAGAAAAATCCTGGGCATCACATACCTAGACTATGTCACCAACAAGGAAGTCTACAATATTAGTACATTAGCTATTGTACCACATGACAACCTAATGACCACAATAATGAAATGCAAGCTGAGATGGTTTGGTCATGTTGCAAGATTGCCAGGGCGTGCAAAAGCTGTACTACAAGGGACAGTGCCAGGAAGTCGAAGGGGTAGGTAGAGAAAGAGGTGGGAAGACAACATAAAAAAGTGGACCAAATTGAGCTTGAGTTAAATGGAGGAGGATAGTCAGGGCTCGAAATACTGGGTGAGTGCACCCAACTTTAGTCTTTGGAGCTGTGCACACAATTTTTTCTGTGGGTGCACCCAAACATTTTTTATAGCTTTACATATGTAAAGATGCTAAATGAATGTTAGTGTACAGCATATTCTTAACACCTACATGTAAGTGTCGGAGAAAAATAACAAAATCATTGTTTTGTACTTTTCTTTAGCAATGAAACATAATAAGTGTTTGCTGACATTCTACCTATTTTATCTTATATGGTGCACCCCCAAAAACTTTTGTGCACCCAATATTTTAGGTTGGGTGCACCAGTGCACCTATTCCCAAAAATGAATTTTGAGTCCTGAATAGTGGATCAAGTCATGGTGCTCCAACAGCCCTCAACAAAGTCAAGGAATAGGTGATAACCATTAGAGGCCTTCTTCATCATACAGTGGGTTACTCTCATACACAAGTTTTGTGTGGGCAGCCTTTTTCTTCCAGTAGGTCCACCACCACGTGACTACCAGGGCTACGATAACAACAAGACAAAGCACGATTGGAAGGGCGATCTTTAAGGCTAAGCGCGATGATGATGATGGTGGTGATAGTGGTTTTGGTGGTGGCGACGGTGTTTTTGCTGTGGTCGTCATTTCCATAGTTGCTGCTGACTGCATTGGCACCTCGTGTGTTGTCAACAGTGCTGCTTCTGAAAATGAAGACAAGCCAAAAATGACACATACTATTTAACAAAGAAGACAATATTGTTGTTTTGATAATGTTAGCCAGGTACCCAAACTTATTTCAGCTACCTCTTTCATCCTATTTTTGGAGAGGATGACAGAGACTGCATGGCTACAATAGGTTTGGTTACCGGGCTACAATAATACGCCTTTTTTTTTAATGGATGAAGACCTTTATTGCACATTTCTGCCACACTTGGCTAAGTACAGGTCACAACAAAACAAGATGAATGGACACGGATAACAGATACAAAATTAACTACGAGTATCGTTATATAAATTCAACTTCTTCTCGCTTTTTAGTTATTGCAGAAATAAACGTACAGATCTGTTTTTTGATGGGCGGTTTGTCTAGTCGCATAAGGAATATGAATTTTTCTATAGTACTTATAAGTGCGTGAAATAGGGGAATAGGTGTTTATTTCTCTCTTATTTTATTATGATATTGACTTAGAAACAAGCTGCATGATTAAAGATAGGCCAGACTGCGATGACGACTCACTGTCACAGAACTGTCCCGTCCATCCATCCGGGCATTTGCAGGCACCGTTTAGGGTGTGGCAGGTGGCGTTGTCAGGGCAACTGCAGTTATGTTCGCATTGTCCGCCATACCGTCCTTCTGGGCAACCTAGTTTTTCACGAACCAATCAGGAAAGTGATTATAAAAGCGTTTAAACAGCGAGTGTGGATGATACGCTAGCCCTAAAACCCATTTCTATTGTAAGTAAACTTTACCACAAGCAAAATGAATCCGACCCACTTACTTTTTCTATAGCCCTCTTCAGGAAACATGACGCCAACACTTCGGGCACGTGACCTGGGCGAGCACGTGACTTGGTGAACACGTGACTAAAGTAGTGGTGCCTGAATTACCATGGAAGTCTAGAGGCTAACAATAGGATCTCTACCAAAGTCCATGGCTTGCTGGCAACTATGTAAAATTCGACCTGGAGATCTGGTAGAGACTTAAGGACCACTACTTCGGAATCGTACCCAAGCATGATTCGGCTAAACTACAATCATTGCTGTTTGATAAAAAGACGCACGGTGGCGTCGTATCAATGTCAGAGTGTGCTTTTTGTCTGAATAGGGGCTTAGTCTGTACCAAACTCCATGGGTTGCTAGCAAGTTTATAAACTCGACCTTAAGGTCTGGAAGAGACCCTAAGACCTCTACTCGGGTACCCACCAGGGTAGTAGACTCTTAGGGTGGCACCGCTGATCATGAAACTCTCCAGCTTCACAAAGCAGTTGACCGCCACGGTGGGCGTGGCCGAGTACACGTGCTGAACACGTGCTATCATCAGGGTGCGTGCGTCGCTAGGGGAGCCCCAGTCAAACCACTCCGCCGGGAGGTTGTCGTCAACATTCAGGTACGCTCTGGAAATGTTCTGTGAAGTTTTGAAATGTTGTAGTTAATGTTTTCAGCAACGGTAGTCTTGAATTCGGTCTTTCAAGTCAGACGTTTCTAGTTACTCTCCAAGCAGAGGTTTGGGTTTGGAGTTATTTTTGGCGTGTTTTTAGGCTTTTTTATTGGGTTTATTTTTTGCACTGATATTTTTTCGCCCAACACTCTGCTTGCAGAGTAGCTTCTAGTCATTTAATCAATTTGCCTCGAAACAAGGCCTATCATAACTTGAAGTAACTGTGAAAAGTATAATAGTATACGAGCGATTGCTGTTTTTGTTTACATCATATAGATGCAAATTATTTGAAGACATATGCAAATTATTGGTAGGCAAATCAGCCAAATGTCACCCGTTTTCGCCTACCTCTCGCTGGCCGTGACGTAATGGCAATCGCTCGTATGGCGCTGCATGCAACGTAGACAGAGTATGGTTTGGCGAATAATATAGTATTCAAATTCATTTCTTGACATTTTCGTCTTTTTTTGTTCGATTTTTGGCATTCTACGACATTGGTATCGTTTTTTAATATTCTTTTTGCAACCTTGCAACTGTTTTGTACGATTTACAATATGGTTGAAAACTTTTTTTTGAAACGGCCGAAAATTCATGCGCGCACGGATGTCATCCATATAATCAAATCAACAAGGCCGCACCGAAAAAAATTACTAGTAACGCGTCACCACCCCACAAGTCTGCGAAGGAGGTTTGAGTAGAAGAAGAATTACCCAATGCACTTCCAACGACGGCAGATGGGTGGCGTAGTTGGGTAGAGGGTCGCAGCCGTACTCGGGTTTCAGATGGTCAGGATCGAAGAATTCCAGGTAAGACTGAAGTCTCCGTACCACCATGACGTAAATCGTCGTGCCACCTGCGCAATAAAAACACGACAGGTTGACGTGAATGTGTCTATGAGGTCATAATCAGTGTTAATCTGTTCATGCGTAAGGCAACAGCAAGTAATTCTTATGGATGACATCAGCGCGTGCATTAATTTTCGCCAGATTTTCGAGAGAAAAAACAAGAAATTTTGTTGCCGTTGACAGTGGTCAACATGTCGAAAATGAGCAAAGATGGCTTGCCATGCCGGAAGGTGGATGGCAGATAACTATGAAAAGAGGAGGCAAGAAAAGGCTCTGATTGAATGTTTTGTTTCTTACTTTGATGCAGTGATATGTGATTCTGGCTGTATATATGTGATGTTCCCACTGAATAAAAACCATTTGTACAATGATTGAGTCAATATTTTAAGAACCTTGTTTTTTTTTCGGTCCGCCTTGTTTTTTTTTCGCCCGCTCGCATTAGATTGGGAGTCTGCGGAGGATGTCATCCATTAAATTTACTTGCTGTGGCCTAACGTTACATTCAAAGTTATTAAATGGGATTACTGTATTTCAAAACCATCGAGCTCTAAGTGTTTACTTTCGTATAAGTTTGAGTTCTGGTCAGGCGGAGGTTCAGAATCTGGAGATACCTACATGTGTCATTGACGACGACGTGCACGTACTTCACCCAGTGATCGTAGTCATGCTCTCTGTTGTCGGTCAGATTTTTTGGGTCTTTTCCCCGGGTTTGATAACCTATGACGAACGGAAACCTCTGTGGGGAAGGAAAGAAAGAAAAGAGAAATTAAAGTAACATTTGGAAAGCAAATGCATAATGTTTACCTTCGCATATCTGCTCTGTTAATTCTTACTCAAACACATTCACATACATGGTGACAGGAGTTTAAATCCCTCCAAGTATGAAATTGCAACATTTTGTAACCCAACATCGTTACCATGGTGAGAGTAAATCTGGTTCAGTCAGGTTAGAGGTCACTGTTTGGAGACGAAGAAGAAGAAGAAACGCCGCAAAAACAATATATTTTCCTTCGGTAAACATAAATAGTATTTGATTCTACAACAGGTGATTCGACAGGAAATAGAGTACAAGTGTAGTCCAAACATATAATGTTATCTATTGACAGCCACCCTGGGTATAGCGAGTCTACATTGAGTCAGTTAGTTGTTAAACGTTATCTAAACATCTACTTTAAAACGGAACTGTTATTACTTCTAGTTCCCCTTTTCTTCTGCAATGGCACACGCTAAAAGGTGACGCGCTTTTATTATGTTTACCGAGGGAAAACATTTTGTTTTTGCTCTGTTTCCTCTTCTTCTTTTCCAAACCAATAAGGTCAATGACCTGAACCAGACGTCTGTCGCCATGGTAACGGCTGGTGTTGGGTTACATCATGTCGCAATTTTATAGCAGGAGGGATTTAGACTCCTGTCTGACCATATATATGAATGTGTTTCGGTAAGAATTAACTGAGCAGACCATATGCGAAGGTAAACATTATGCCTTTGTTTTGCAAATGTTACCTTTCTAGTTTCAAAGCTGAACTGTGATATTGTTATCTCAAAAAGGAAACCTTTGATAAAAGAATTATACTTAGTGTGAACATTTGTCCGTAATACATCCCTCCGTTAGAGTGATGTATTCGTTTCCGTTACATGATCTTAGGTACGCAAATATCTGGAGAAAACAATAGGATTTTTCTTTAGGATTGTTTCTTCTTCTTCGATATCGATATTTTGTTTTCAAATAAAGAAACAACCTACGTGTCCTTCGTCGCCCTCTCTTGTCGGCATGTTACACGTCGGGTCAAAATAATGAGAATTCTGTGTACAAGATAAGAACAAAATGTATGAAAGAATGAATGTATCTTGCTCATCAATACGAGTAAGCACAATGATATATGGGTGGAAGTGTCAGCAGCCATCGTCTTTACATACTGATGCGGTGCACTATATTTACATGCTGATGCGGTGTACTATACTTTCAACACAAGGTCACGTCGCGTTTGACTGGCCAAACATGATGACGCCATGTTTGTTTGTTCAACGACTTCAACCTTTGCGCTCAGTTGCATACACAATAGGAATACAACACTGTTACTAAAATGTACTATACATGTACTAGTATTCGTAAGTTCACACGCACACGGCGAGCGATGAAATAGAGAAAAAAAGCAGGGTTTTGCAGAAGTCTGTTCCTACATTAACACAAAAAAGCAGATATTTATTCAGAGCAAAATGCGGAAGTGAAACTTGTTTTGAAGAAGTGGACCCTAATGACTTCCGCTTTCAGATATACCGATAACAGAACTGTTCTTAGACTAGAAATATTTGTCAACTCATTCAATAGAAAGGTACTTACCCCAGAATTCTGCAATTCATTAATACTGCCAAGAGCTAAACCTGGAGATTTTCAAATACACATTATGTACATTATGTTATACAGTAAAGCAGGTGGAGCAAAATGTAAAAGTAGTATTTGCTAAGTTTATTTCTACTTGAAGACAACTAGTTCTGTCTAAGCTGTAATGCTTATCAAACCGAATTAACTCAAACAACTGGATGGATTTTGAAAATCTGTCCAGATATACTTGAGTAACTGTTATTGTGGTATCTTATTACAGATACCAGATAACCTTTATTGTACGTACTGTATACATTCATGTCCCATGAAAAGGTATACATGTACATGTTTGTAGTACAAACAGGACTGCTGATAATAGAGGTTCGGCTTCTTCTCATTTCTTTGTAATGCTAATTAAAATATAATTTGAAATGGGTTAGTTTAATACAGTACTTGGATGTCTAGCCTTCGTCGACGTGCAATGATTTAATATTGTAGTGCGTCTTCCCCGTGTAAACATTGTAGAACAAGTAAGAACCTACGCACAACAACATCCTCAAACTTGGGGTGCTGTTCTCATTAATGTGTGCGTTAATATTGAAATACCTTTATTGTACATTCATGCCACGACGGGCTAGGTACAGGTCAAGACTTAACAGACACATAACAAACGTCTGTAGAAAAGTGGAGACTAAAGACACACTACTTGACTTAGACATACATACATAAGGAACGTATAAGAGTACTATACTAGGCTAATACAAAGTGTTCGAGTTACTGAGCTAGTACAGAGTGATCAACTTCTTCTCTCGCTTTTTTGTACAATGGAAAATGTGGGAACAGATCATGTTTGTACACTCACCTGTCCATATGACTAACACAAAACGGACGACTGAAGACACTGCCATGGTGCGTAGTCTAGGCCGTGGTTTTGGGAGGACGGGCAGTGTAGACACCCTGGTGGAAGGCGACACGTGAAGGAAGTGGGTACCTGGTGTTTTGTGACTTTGAGGAAATGGAGAGGTTTATAAAGGCCTAGCACCCACGGTGTTTGTTTGATGATCGATCGCCGTCTAGTAGGAAGGATCTTTTGTGGTTTAGGTGAGTGGTTAATACCAGTACGTGACAACTACACGCCCGTAGCCAGGATTTTGTTGGGGGGGGGGGGTCTTCCCACTGTCTGAGGAACCAGCGAGCGCCAAAGGCGCGAGGTTCTTAGGGGGAAAGCACGTAAAATTTTGAAAATTTAACCTTCTAAAACGGCATTTCCTGCATTTTTGAGAGGGTTTCAAATTAAAAACATAACTTTTCATTCAATGATAACATGAGCAGTTTTTCTACCAGGCCCACTGGTGATACGAATTAGTCCAACTTTTATAGGAAAATCTTGGACCTTTAAATAAAAAGTGGACCTTTGAGCCTTGTGGGGGGGGGGGGTTCTTCCGAACCTCCCTTGGCTACAGGCATGCACTAACTACTTTTAGGGTAAGGTCTTAAATTCTTAAAATCTTTTGGTGTTGAAAACACCTTGAACATGACGAGTTGTTAATTATTGTATACGTACGCAATCTTGGCATATATTGGGGGGGGGGGTATCTTAATACATGTATTTGGAGAATGATTGTAAAAAGTTCACCTTTTGCGCTTGCGCCGATTTACTATGTACAAAATTGTGAAAAAAATCAGTCTTATTCAGCTTGGTTGTGCACTGGCTGCAAGGCTGATTTTATTAATAAAACTTGAAACTTGAAAACTTCCTCATAAACCTGAAATATCACAGACAGCCAGTGACAAATTCGAAGGAAAGTCCTGTTTCTTTTTTAATCATTCCTTTTTAATTACTTCTCTTACATTACATGTAAGTACGCATACAGAGCAAGGAAAACAGAGGAGTCAAAGGACTGGTGCAACTGTAAAACAGACAAATACAATCTATCATTATATCTATGAAAATAACATATTGGGGGGGGGGGTTATATCTTAATACATGTATTTGGAGAATGATTGTAAAAAATTTCACCTCCTTTAGAAATCTTAAATTTCATAGACAAATTCGAAGGAAAACTATTATTGTCGTGTTGCTTTATTAATCATTCCTTTTTAATTACTTCAAAGTCAAATTACTTCAAATTCAAAGTACGCATACAGAGCAAGGGAAAAAAGGGGATCAAAAGACACATGCAACTGGAGAACAGACAGATACAATCTAGCATTATCTATTCTATGGAAGTAACAAAGCTACACGACATGTTCATATTCATTCTCAACAGCTCCCCTAGCGATCAGGGTTTGAAGCTGCACGTTGCGTGCCTTCACATCCGGGACACTCGGAGGGCCTGCTGTCGGGGCTGCTTTGCGCTTGCGCCGATTAATCTCGCACTGGGTTGCCATGGCGACGATAAGACCAAGTGCAAGAGCGCTCATGAAGTACAAGGCAATGCTTTCACCTGAAGAAAAAAAGACATTTAAGAGCTAGAGAAATATAACATTTTCAAAGCAAATGCATAATATTTACCTTCAGACATGGCCTGCTCTGTTAATTTTTACTCAAACACATTCACATACATATACTACTAGTATATGGTGACAGGAGCAGAGCAGACCGTGAAATTGCAACATTACGTAACGCAACACCAGTCACCATGGCGACAGACGTCAACAAATCATGTCATTGGTCAGGTCAGAGGTCACTGCTTGGAGAAGAAGAAGAGGACGAAACAGAGCAAAAACAATATGTTTCCTTCGGTGAATATAAATAGTCACTTTGCTACCAATTTTCAACAACATCTAGAGCAAAATCGTGACGCTATCTATAGCTAGCTGTCCCTTTTTTTTCTGACGCGCAACCAACTGGAAAATGCTCTCAACATCTGCTTGGAGAATATATCTCCCCTTCCATGCCCATCCCCATCACAAAACATAGTGAGAAATTAGCCTCCTGTGCAGGCCTCCGGGCGGGTGGGCGTTTTGATACTAGTACTGCGTTTTGTAGAATTTTCAGCGCGTTCTCTTGTCGCCCATTCTACAACCGGCAGCCGCCCAAAGAAGGTTTGTCCCTGCCATGTGGCGGCTGGTTGTAGGATGTGTCGGCAAAAGAACGCGTTGAAAATTCTACAAAACGCAGTATCAAAACTTCCATCCGCCCAGAGGCCTGCACAGGAGGCTAGTACAAATGGATAAAGAAATTGAGACAACGAGAAGGAAAAGGCCGTACCGCGGGGACGTCCTGGTGAGAAACAGTTGGCGCAGTCTGGGCTGTAGATCCCTACAACGATGGTAAGTAGCATGTAAATTATGCAAAAGTTAAAATTTTAATACTAGAAAGGTAACCTTTGCAAAGCAAATTCATAATGTTTACCTTCGCATATGTTCTGCTCTGTTAATCCGTACTCAAACACATTCATATATATGGTCAGACAGGAGTCTAAATCCCTCCTGCTATAAAATTGCAACATGATGTAACCCAACACTAGTTACCATGGTGACAGACGTCTGGTTCAGATCATTGACCTCATTGGTTTGGAGAAGAAAAAGAGGAAGACGAAACAGAGCAAAAACAATGTGTTTTCCTTCTGCGAAGATAAACATAACTATATATCTCTACCAGATGTGTTGAAATCAACGTCTGTGTTTAAAAACCGTGGCCGTTATCTAACTGACCTTCAAGTGAGATCTGAGTGGACTCGCGGTACAGCTTTCCGCTGCTGGTCACGTATGCGCATGCGTACTCTCCGGAGTCAGCCAATGAGGAGATGTTTGCGATGATGGTCGTGTTCACGAACGTTCTACAACAAAAAATAAGTTAAAATTTTAGTACTTCCCGAGAGAGGTTAGAAGAGGCTATTCACATCAGGGCCCATCATTCAACCGCGACGGGGGCCGACATCGTTTACCTTTGACCCAGTGTGACGTCACACTTCAGAGAAGCCACGTGACAAGTTTCACTGGGTCAGTCTATTGGAGAAGATCAGAGTGACGAAAGCTCTAGGTGAGAACAATCCTTTGTGTTTTAACAAGATTTTGAACCTTAAACAAGTAAAATTTTAGCTAAATATGTGTTTGTGTCCTTTTCCAGGTGAAGTATACCATTATCAAGTCCAAAAGAAACCTCAATATCCACCATCATTGGACGTCGGTCATTTCAGAACAAGCCGTACCTGTTCATGCCGTCGAAACCTCGTGACGTCAGGATCTCAGTCACCCCGTCGCTAGGAGACAGCTGCCGACCGTTCAGCGCCCACGCGAAAGTGCTGCTGGGATCGACGTTGAAGACAGCACAGCTGATCTGTACCGTCTGACCGGACATGACGTCACTACGTTCCGCAGAGATCACAATCTTCGGATCCACTGTAACATAAACATACAAACATGTAACATTTTAGATATAAAAGTTGTCTAAAATGGTGAAAAATTTAGAAAAACAGGTAGTGAAGAAAAAATTATCGAGAATTTACCGATGTCGCAGGCTCGTCCCGTCCATCCATCCGGGCACTTGCAGGCGCCGTTGAAAGGATGACACCTGCCGCCATTTTGACACACACAGACGTTCCTACATGTCCCTCCGTAGTAACCATCAGGGCAACCTGAGATATGTGTGTGCGACAGTACTTCAGTCAAATGCACAGAGATTGTACAGTATTTCATTGACATGTTTTCAAGGAAAAGGATTTCGCTATTTACTTTCTTTAGAAACAATGAGCTTTTTTGGCAAAACGCATTGTTTCGGTAGTTTTTTGTCTTTACTCATCTATTGACAGTTTATTGACGATTAAGTTTTATGGAAGATCCATCAATTGACATTTCTTTGAATTCCGGAATGCGAATAAAAATTGATTCTCGAATAAAAATTGATTTCATTAAAATCATGAAATGAAATAATTTGTTTTTGCTCCGTTTCCTCCTCTCCAAACACAAAAGGTCAGTGACCTGAGCCCAGCAGTCTATCACCATGGTAACTAGTGTTGGGTTACATCATGTTGTAATTTTATACCTGTAGGGATTTACGACTTCTGTCACCAAATATATCTCTGTGTTTGAGTAAGAATTAACGGAGCAGATTATACGAAGGTAAACATTATGCCTTTGCTTTGCAAATGTTACCTTTCTAGTTTTAATTTCATTTCAAGTAAACAATACATACAATCATGTACAAATACAAAGACATGGAAAAAGAGAAGAGATACAAACATAAAACACAAATCATGTAAGTTTTGCCTTGAATCGTTGATGCGATACTCACCGATGGCATCCAAAGCGAGCATCGCCTGAAACTTAAATGAAAATCCCGTGGCCGTTTCAAACTCCAGTCGACAGTCGGACACGGGAAGGTTGTCCGTCACAATGTCCGCCATGTCCACTATAAGGAGAACGTGCCTGCGGGCGGCATAACGTGAACTCGTCTTGTTCGCAAACCACTGCGGGTCAATAGCGACATCTGGCGGGCGCTCGTACGTTGCATTCTGTTGGCGGAGAAAATGATTATTGTCTTTTCTCAAAAATTTAGATCTGGAGACTACGTTTGGAAGCATGTTAGTAACATGCTTTAGATATGATAAATATCATGACTAATATTGCATATACGAGCACTCACTTTCATAATACATGCATGTCTTTTTGTATCTTGTATGTGTAAAATGTGTGTATAGATGGGACTCCATATGAGGTTAACTTTCTGTTTCGTATGACTCTTACCTCATGATTTCAATTAAAAGCGGCCTGCAGGCCGATTTGAGCTTCTCATGAATAAAAAAATTATGCCAAAAAATAAATCTGAAGTAGGAGAGTTTTGCCTTTGTTTGATCTCCAAACAGATGTTAAGCGGCGGAGGGATCGTAACGTTTTTTTTCTGGCCCTGCCAACCCAGTCGGTTCATCTAACCTCCCCACATCCTCCAATTACACAACAACGACATTGAAAGCATGACTAGTACCCAGTAGGGGGTGGCGCTCAGGGTGCCTCTTGTTGGGTCTCTGGTATTTGTGCAGGAAGCCAGGAAATGTGGCGTCGTACCCGGAGGTATCTGAGTGGTCAGATACTCGTCCCGCATGACCACATAAGCCTTCGCCCCACCTGAAACAGGTGAAGGAGAAACAAATGTCATCATTCCTTTGTCATTAGTAACGGACAGTAGTAACAATACCTGTCCATTGCTGTCCAGATGAATAGTTCTAGAGAACATCATCAACAGTTTTTATGTTTAATTTACCGAAGGAAAACATATTGTTTTTGTTCAGTTTCCTCCTCCTCAAACACATAAGGTCAATGACCTGGGCCAGACGTCTGTCACTATGGTAACTAGTGTTGGGTTACATCATGTTGCAATTTTATAGCAAGAGGGATGTCTGGCCATATATATGAATGTGTTTGAGTAAGAATTTACAGATCAGACCATATGCGAAGGTAAACATTATGCATTTGCTTTGCAAATGTTACCTTTCTAGTGTTCGCTTTGTTGTTTCTTTGGTCTGTGTAAAAGGCGGTGGTTGAATGTGTAACTTACACTGATCATTTAGGGACAAAGTCGACCGCTTCCCTTGCTTGTGACCGTCGCTGTACAGGAGCCTGTAACCCAACATGGAGCTCGAGCTGACTTGGACCATAAACGGGAACAGCTGAAAAAAAAAAGAACGCAAGAAAAAACAGTTATTTGAAAATAAATGTAGGTAAGCAGCTGCACAGGCTTTGCGCCTTTTCTCTGCCCTCTCCTATTTTTTTTCTCAGAGTAGCAACGTTCTCTCTACCTTACGCAAACACGAATCTGCAGGTGGAATGTTTTGGATAAAATTCAACTTGATCGTATACTAGTACGACTACCTCAATGGCTCCTTCCCTGAGGCGTCGCCAAAAATAATCTGCAGCAATATATCCCGTTTCTTCTCTTATGTGTTGTCCCTCGACATACTAGTGGCCATTCATAGATTTTCAAGATATCTAGTGAATATGAATAATCTATATCATACTCTAAAGGTAACATTTGAAAAGCAAATATAATGTTTACCTTCGCATATGGTCTGCTCTGTTAATTCTTACTCAAACACATTCATATATATGGTGACAGGAGTCTAAATCCCTCCTACTATAAAATTGCAACATGATGTAACCTAACACGAGTTACCATGGTGACAGACGTCTGGTTCAGGACATTGACCTTATTAGCTTGGAGAAGAAGAACGGACTACAAACTCACACTTGTGTCTGGTCTTGCACGAGGTGGGATGTAACAGGCAGAGTTGAAGACGGGCGGGTAGGATGGGTCTTCCTTCACAGAAATGAGCATACGAAGTTCACCCTTTATAAGAAGAAAGTAGGGTTCAGGTCTAATATGTGTAAATACATAAAACACAGTTTTGTACCGAAGTCTTACTTGATTGTATACTATATTAGCTCCTGATGTTTAGTACTAAGGATGTTAAATTTTATTCTATACCCTTTTCAATTTTTGTACTATGTTTAATAGTCGTTGCCATATACGAGGGGTGATCCAAAAGTTCTCGGCCTCTCCCAAAAAACGTGATGGCAGAAAAATTTTTCTTACACTATTTTTTAACATAGTCTCCTCTAACTTCAATGCACTTGGTCCAGTGATGTTCCAGCTTTCCTTTCCCTTGTGGAAGAATATTTCGTCTTAAGCCCTTAAAGATGCCTAAACCACATCAATGACGCCATCATCACCATCAAAACGTTGACCACGTAAGTAGAACTTGAGTTTAGGAAACAGGTAGAAGGCCCACGGTGCTAGGTCAGGTGACTAGGAAGAGTGGGGTAAGACTTCAAAGCCACATTCGTTTGCTGCTGCCACTGACCCCTGTGCTGTGTGGACAGGTGCATTGTCAGCACGTCAACTCTGAACTTTCCTCTCCTTTTCTCTGTGATTGTTGCCCTCAACTGCCGCAATTCTGGTGCACAGTACACCCCATTGATGGTTTGACCCTTTTGCAGGTAGTCAATAATGATTACCCCCTCACTGTCCCAGAAAACAGAGGCAAAAACCTTTTCAACGGGTAAAACTCGCTTGGGATGCTGGGAACCGTTCTTCATCAATTATTTGCTCTGCTGTTTTGATTCGGGGTGAAAGTGGTGAACCCATGTCTCATACTGGGTGACAAATCATTTGAGTAAGTTGCCTTTATGGACTGAATTCGTTCCTTGAAATGTCCAGCCTGTTTAACGTGTGATGTTCAGTCAACATTCTAGGCACCCATCATGCAGACAAGTTGCTCATCCCCAGGATGTCTGACAAAACATTGGGAACTGTACCACAAGTCAGGCCAAAGAACCTGCTACATGTTGGACAGTCTCACATCTGTCATTCACTACCATGTTATGGATGGCCTCAACTGGATTGTCCATGGTGCTGATTTGTGGCATCCTGACATATGTTCATCTTTTGTGCTCTCCTTGACGCGCTTAGAGCTAGCAACCCAGTTCTTTGTGGTTAAATAAGAAGGGGAGTCATCACCAAGTGACTTGATCATGTCTTTATGGATTTCCCTAAGAGACATAGCTTTTTATCGATATACTAAGATCGCAGCACACGCTTCTGCTGCGGCCATTTTGTGATTTTGCTCTCACCCGCCCCATTTTCACGGGGCGTCACGTGCTAATTAATGAATGTAAAAATTTGCATTTTTGTGTGCAGTGATGTAAGACGTCATAGTATACAGCTATACCAAAGAATACGCGTTTGACCTCTATTTTCTAGGTGAGGCCGAGAACTTTTGGATCACCCCTCGTATTGTACCATGTACAATTGTAGAGCAAGTAAAGTTCTTGTTCTTCTTATATTGTCTTTGGGCAAAGCATAACTACTAGTATGACCAGTATTATCTTGCCATTGCTGTTTGTTTGTTTGTTTGTTTGTTTGTTTAGTTTCTTTAGATTCTTCAACTCACCCCGTCGTCATCGTCGGTTACCGTGACGTCATAGTGTGAGTCAATGTCAAAGTTGAGGTACCGCTTCACGTACACATTGCCGCTGTCACGGTCAATGGCGAACCGGTCGTCCTGGGGAGAGGGGCAAAGAAGCTTAAGTATTGATTAATGATGTATTGTTTGTCCCAGGAACAAAAGCCTTAGTAATTAGCTAGTATCTGTGCCATCCCTGTATGCATTGATTGATTCATATTTTGAACAGCGCAAGATTCTAGATATCAACAAAATGCTTCCCCCTATATTATTATTATTATTATTATCATCGATCATCATCATCATCATCATTATTTTATTATTATCATCATTATCATCATCATCATCATCATCATCATCATCATCATCATTATTATTATTATTAATTTATTATTAATTTATTATTAATTTATTATTAATTTATTTTTATTATTATTTATAGTTGTGAGTCATTCATTTGCCCGGCCCACACTTGTAACAATAGTTACCCCCAAACGTGTTGTTACCACACTCCCGGCATACCTTGTTTCCGTCCGTTATGCGGTACGTTGTCTTTCCGGTCAAGCCTCCTAAACACATGATCACGTGACCTGGATCAGCGCTCTGGAGCAAAGAAGCAACAATAAAATCAGTTTATTTATGTACCACTTCTATGTACTATGGAACAAGATAACTTCCCACAGTAACTTTATATCCGACACTAGGGGGTCTGGGATAGAAGAATTACGAGAGCAAAAACAAGAACGAGTGGCCTAAGAGAATTGTAGTTCGAATGTCCAGGTTTGTACCTTGATAGTAGTTGATATTAGTCTTCATTCTATTCATTTTTCAAATTTCCCGGGGGAGCATGCCCCCCCGGACCCCCTTTATAAAATCAAATCAAATCAAATCAACTTTATTGCTCAACAACTGTAGCTGGTACAATGTATGGCAAAGAAACAACAATGGTACATACATCAACTAATACTAAGATATAATTCTAACTAGCTAGTCCATAATGATACTAAAGCTAATCTATTGTGTTTTCTTAGGAAGAGTATTATTACATTCTGTAATTCAGGGGATATATCAGCTATTAACAATCTGGTGTCGCTTTTGTAGTGATTCGAATATGAATTTTCCAACGTACACTGATATCTGAGTAGGACATGAAAGGAGAGTATTAAAGATATCTGATTTTGAGTGAGGTAGCGTAACATTAGTTTTGGAAGCTATGTATTCTATCAACTTATATAGGAACCTCGCCTACGGCGCCTCGCTTACGGCGCTCGCTGGTCCCCTCAAGCAGTGGGAAGAATCGCCCGACTAACCACGCTGGCTATGTATAGGAGAATATTTGCCAGGGGAGTTTGGCCGCCTTGTAGGTTTGACTTCGGAGGGAACGAAATCATCTCCCCGCGGCCGGACTCCCTTGGCCAATTTTACTCTCTTTTTTGCCCGTATTCCCGTAGAAAGGCCTAGTGGAGGTTATATGTTGATATGATGATGATAGAAATACGTTTAAACTCACCTCTGATACAGCTATGTGGAAGCGTTTCCCGCCTACCATAAGGAAAATACAACAAAATACATTATAATTATTCATCTTTTATCAGATACTTTTGCCGTACATTTAATGCTAAAATGTTTGATTTCGACCAACAAATTAGTTATCTTTTACGAGCTACTTTCACCGTACATTCTATGTAACTTACGTCGTTAAGCGTTGTTGATGATTAAAGCCCCATGTGGAGATTAAACAATACGTGGCA